CTTTTCAAAACCCGTGCTGCTTTATTTTTACAAGGCTTGAGGCCTATATCGAGTAAAGGCCCWTTTACTCTCGCCGGCCTAGTTTCGAASTCCTCTGAGAATCATTTACCTATCAAGGATAYGAATCCCCCTCTTTGCGYTTTCGTATGCAGACACAATATGAGGTGCAGAATCTAACAGTTCCTCCCTTGTAAACCAGCGATCTTCACTAGGATCCTGGTATGCAAACCTCACCTTATACTGTTGCTGTGGTCTGCCTCTACGTCCAGTGTGGTAAGTACTTTCTGCAACAATTTTGTCTACGTCATACTTCCCATCCATACTTGGAGGTATCGCTGAGCGGCGACTTGGGAAGAGCTCATTCGTTACACAAGGTAAGAGCTTGGACGCATGGAACACTGGATATGTACGTAGATGAGGCGGAATCTCAATGACATACGAGGGACCATCCACATCTCCGATCACATCTAAAACTTGCCAAGGTCCTCTGTAGGTGGGTAGAAGCTTCTGAGAGATGTTTTCTTCAGGAGCAAACTCCTTAGATTTCACCCAAACTAAATCTCCWACAGCAAATTGAGACGGGCGTCTGTGTTTATTTGTCTGTTCAATCATCTGATGTTGTGCTTTGAGTATATTTTCTTTCACCTTCWCAAGGTCTTTCTGATATTGGATTGCAAATTCACTAGTCCCTATAGGAAGCTTATGTACTTGATCCGGGTTCAACCGATCAATGGGTCTGCGTGGACGCCATCCCAGATGTAACTCCATAGGAGTTTTACATGTAGATAGATGTACAGAATTATTATAGGCACTGGCAACTTTAGGTAGATGTTCATCCCAGTCAATCTGATCGGGACGGATGTACATGCGTAAAGTTTGCTGCAAAATCTTGTTCATCTGCTCAGTCTGGCCATTAGTCTCAGGATGTCTGCCTGATGACATAGTCAACTTAAAGCCATAAACATTCATCAGTTGCTGCCATTGTTCATTTGTGAACCTGGTATCTCTGTCACTCACAATAGTTAAGGGATGTCCAAAGTCTTTTACCCAATGATTAAAGAATTCTCGAATCACTAAATCAGTCTTCGCTTCCGAAGACAAAGCTACAAAAACAACATAGTGAATCTATCCACTATGACCATTACTTGCGTTTTCCCATTTCT